ATTGGCAACGGGAAACCCTTGGAAGGCCAGAGCTCCCTGGGGTCCGGGGGGCCCCTGGGTGGCAGGTACTCCTACTCCTGCTATTCCCGCAGCTGCAGGATATACCGCCCCGCTAAGCCCGGCGGGGTTTCCCCGGGGGACAAGACCCAGCAGAAACAAGAGCAAATCCGCTACCTGTGAGTGAGCGGAGGGGCACGGCTTCCAGCGGGGCAGCGAGAGTCCTCGGGAGCCAGCCACGCTCATCCATCCTGAGAAACAAGCCCGGACACTCTATTTCCCACTTGTGTTCGATCTCTGCTCGAAGTGTCCTGGCTCCGTGCTCAACCCCTTTTTACTTTGCTTTCATGTAAATTTAACTTAATTCCTCTGTATTAACTTAATTCTGCAGTATTGCTGTGGTCTGATAAATTCCATTTGTCAGTGCCAATAAAATCCTTTCTGCATCACAATATCACGTTTTCTGCTTTTATTTGTAGGGTTTCTAAACCTGTACTCCGCTGATGTTAAAATAATCCTCAATGACTAGTCTCCTGCGTTAATTAAGGTGTTAAAAGGATATCCCACTCCTTGATATAGATCCTAAATGTTTCATAGTCACAGACGTTACACAAGTTTTTGCTGTGTTTGATAGCCTTGGGATCCAAAAGAAAAACTGAGGCTGGCTTATACATGGTGAACATTACCTCGGCCCCCTGTTCCCTGTGTTCTAGTGGTGAAAATACAACTGTCCCGGTGAGCATGGTGAGCCTCAACACCTCACAAGCAAGTGAGGCATTGGTAGAGCTTTTCCTTAGCCCTCCTGGCAAGAGTTACATCCAAGTCACCATACCATTTCTCTCAGCATATCCCAGACGGACATGGGAAAGGAAAGAAAATGAGGGTCAGGCAAGCTACTAAAAAAGCAGGGCCAGGGGAGCCTGAAAGGCATGGGCATACTTCAGGATTCAGTGTACAGCAAAAGGATCTCTATTCACTCCTTGCCACAAGCAGCTCACGGAGGCGTTTTCCCCTGAACAGGGAAATAAATGCATCCTGAGACAGTAAGCCCAGTGAGGATTACCGACTTCTTCCTCTCACAAAATGACAGTCAAAATCCCTGATGGTCTGACTTGTGCTGTCTTGAAAACATCAAGTTTCAAACATGCTGAAGCACATCAATTCCTGGCATAGTTGGGCTTAACTAAGCACGCTGTGGCTGTGCAAACACGGCATAGCTGGGCTTAACTAGTCACACTGTGGCCATGCCTATTAGCCAAGACAAAATCGTGAGCTGCAGCAGGCAGCAGCCTTGTTTTAAGGGTGCAGCACACAAAATGGCCTTGGAGACCAAATACAGCAATGCCAAGCGTAGTGCATCGCACAAATCGTGGATGCAGCGGTGGAATTCCAGCATCTTCTCAAATCTCTCAAAGAGAGGTTTGTCAGACCTATTTTTCCCTCCACCTCCTATCCCACGGGTGATGTTTGTCCACCTCCTAAAAGTCCTGGAGTACACAGGTCCAAAGACACCCTGGGGCGCTACCCTGGGGCGCACACCCCCCTGCGATGGGTAGGGAAATATAGATGAGTGGGATGCACGTCTGTCTGTCTGTCGGACACCAGCCATGAAGCGAATCCTTGTGGGGATGTGCTGTGTGCCCGGTCTCGCGGGGACCCGGCCCCGCACAAAGGTGGCTACCGGGCAGGCGCAGGTGTGGCTTTCCCCGGCCAGAGACTACTCGGTCAGGAATGCAGTGCGCGCTTTCAAAGATGGCATTTTCACAACACCCCTGCGGTCTAGGTGGTTGTTACAGGAAGAAAACTGAGACATCAGGGCAAAGTGTTTGTCTGCACAGCAGTTTCTGATTCAGAGGAAGAGCTGGGAAGGAAAATACAGGTGTGCCTATTCCCGCCATCCTTACAGGTAGAATTGGGGTGGGTTTCTACACACAGCAGCAGGTCCTGCCCTCCCAGGCCAGAGGAAAGGCAGAAAACCTGTCTCCATACCAAAAGGGAAAAAAAAAAGGGGAAAAAAAAGGAAGGAAAAAATAGCAGGTCATACAATATTACAGAAGGGTCAGAAAGGGCAAGGAGAAGGTACTGATGTAGCCAAGCATTGCACGGACCAGGCCTCACGCAGAGGAGATGGTCTGTCACCATTTAGTCCACAACACCACTTAAGAGAGCAAGCAACCTTCTTCTCTCTCAGAAGTCCCTGCCTAATAATTTATAAACACGTTTTCACAGATTGTTTCAAGTTGAAAAGGCTTCCCTGGAGAGAGACCCATGGCAAACTCTTACAAGAGTCACAGTTTTAGCAGAATCTACAGTTAATAATGTATATTTTATACATATTATATGTATATTATCCCTGCTCTTCTATCTGCATTTCAATACGCAGGAAACTATTGAATAAATTTAATCTTAGCCAAGTTAGCAGGGAGCATATAATAAGAGAAGTGTCCAGAACAGATTTTACAATTTAACCTTATTTTCCACTTTCTTAAACTCCCTGTGTATGTGAAACAACCTCGTTCATGAGGATCTGATGCTGCACCAACTGATATTTGTTGCACATTTAGCTCATCTTGATGATGCAAAAAAAATCCTGACTTATCCTAATTACTTCGGTGTTCCCGACCTCATCACATTGTTACACAATGTTACATCTCATGGTTCATTTCCTTTCAAGATTTCAACGACCAGATCCTTCCTGGTATGAATCCACTCCCTTCATTGGTTTTGGGTGGGAATGAATCAAGCTCCTTTTTTGTGATTGATTGACTTTTACATTCTTCTCTATCCTAAGTAGTATCAGGCACCCGGTTTCATGGTCCGCGATGCCACAGTAATGCCCAATAGAATTTATTGCTGCAATTCATCACTTGCTGAGAGTCTGGGAGCTGAATCCTTTTCGTCCCTCCAGAGAACTGATCACTTTCAATCTGCCTGATGGCTAGGTTGATCAAGGAGTCAAGCCCTGATGGCCATGGGGTTGCTGCCACTTAAAGTCTTGCCCTGGAGAGCCCTGTTAGAGGGCAGTGATAACAAATAGCAAAAAAAAAGATGGAGTTTCCCCTCTCCGTATGTGTGTCCTGTACTGTATGGGTTACAGGGAAAGTTGAAGGCTAAAGCATTTATTGGTTTCACTGAGATCCTTCTTAAAAACATCTTCTAGAATCACCACTGATTTTCTCACTCAATTTGAGACACGTTGAACAAGTTCTGATTATTTCCTGAAAAGCGCTCTGTGCCACCGGCTTATGAAAACAAGGCTGCCTGTGGCCAAGAATTGCCCAGTTCTGGAAAATATTGAGTCTTGGAGTGAAGCCATGCACTGGAGAGACAGCTAGACGCAGAGTTACAGAGTTGGAGTGGTTTAGACAAACATTGCTGAAATCATTAGAGAGAGCATAATATAAACTGAGACCAACTAAATTCAGTGGGGTCATATTCAGTTGGAGCAGAAGAGGGTCTGGCACCTAGGTTTGGGAGTAAGTTTGTCCCAAAGTACACACAGAGCTAACTGTAAAGCAAAGATGAGAAAAAAAGAAAATGAAGGAGGGGAATAAACAGCAGCTCTTAGCAGAGACTGAGCGAAGCTGCTCTTCTTGCCCTTTGCTCTGGCTGTGGGGGTGGCAAGATCTGTACAAGAAATGCACACAGGTCTGGAGCGCAATTTAAGGTCAGCAGCATTTCTACTATGCATTAAGTAAATGCTTGTTTTCTGCTTTACAGTGAATTGCACAGGTTTGCTGGCTTGTCAGTGCCAGCACATCAGACCCTGACTGAGCAGCTGAAGTGGGGACTCGATGGGGGCAAAATAAGTAGATTTGCATCCTGGAGCTTCAAGGTTAATATTTACAGTCTGTCCCCCATCTGTGAATGGATTTTAAAATATAAAATAAATAAAATAAAATACAGTTGTCAACCAGATGGTTTTATCTTAATGGAACTGTCTCTCATTGCTGTAGAAGGGTGAAGCCTGGGGATTGTTTCAGAGTTCCAATGAATCCGAACCTGATCAAAAAGTTGAGAGAGGGATGACGTAGTAAGGCGTAAAGGGAAACTGGGAATTGCCTAATAACTGCAAGCAGTGAGCAAAATGATTACACACTGTGAGGCATTACATGTAATCGCTTCTGTTTTGAATCTAATCAAACATCATGTGCAAAGGATGGCTCAGATCCTCCAGGCTATCCGAGCAGCAGTATAAAAGCACACGCTGCTCACATCACTCCCAACAGCTTCTCCTGACTTCTCCTCTGAGACTCGAGTAAGTTTTTAATTCTTTGTGCCTTTTTCATACTCCTCTTTTAAAGATAACTCTAGCTGAATCCCACATAAATATCTGCCATGGCACTAGCAGGGCTGGCCTCTCTGTAAAAGCAGCTTTGCTGACCCTGCAGAGAGCTCGGGGCTGGCATTATCCAGCTTCTCAAGGGAAAACAGCACTCCTTGCTAGGTGCTTCAAGGATTCGCAACTTTTATTTCCTAAAGCTGGTACAGAAATGAGCTGCAGCCTTATCTAGACTTTAGTCGAAGGTGAAGCTCAGTTTGGAAGCCCTGTGTAACAGGTGGTCCCATAAATCCTGTCCTACAGATTAATTACTGAGAAAAGGGGGCTGGGGGAGATGGCCTTTGGTCTCATGAATTTTGTTTGTGCTCCTTTGCAAGAGAACACAACTGAAGCAAGCACTGCCGATGACATAGCCCTTTGGGATACGTTCTGGCACATCATGTATAGATGGGTCAAAAGCGTAGGTTGTTTGATGTACCGAGGAAGGTTAGGAAGAGTTGAGAGTCTGGCAGAGACAGAAGATAAACATAACCCAGGCAGTGTGATGAAAAGGTGGAAGAGAGCGCCAGGAACTATGAAGCCACATCACCTCTGTTCAGGAAGCTGCTCAAGCGAGTAGCTTCCTCATCAAATATGCTTGAGTGTATGAACGTAAATCTATGAATTGCTCTACGCATAGTCTTCTGTCTTTGTGTTTCAGATCCACCCCCACTGCAGAACGATGTCCTCCTACAGACAGCTGTGCAACTACCAGTGCTACTCACCCTGCGAGGTGACCTGCCCGCAGCCCATCGCCAATGCCTGGAACGAGCCCTGTGTTACATCATGCGGTGACTCCAGGGCAGTGGTCTACCCACCCCCTGTTGTCATCACTTTTCCGGGGCCAATTCTCAGCTCCTGCCCTCAGGAAAGTGTAGTGGGATCCTCAGCACCAGCTGCCATCGGGAGCTCGCTTGGCTATGGGGGATCTTCTGGCTACAAAGGCTCTTTTGCTTACGGGGGATCACAGGAAAGCAAGTTCTCCTACCCTTACTGTTCCCAGAGGCGCAGTGGTTATTGCTTTAGAAGGTGGGAGCCCTGCCAGACCCAGAAGGAGTATACTTGCACCAAGGATTCGGTATCCTGTCAGGATACTGAATGCAAGATCCAAACTCAAGAGTAAGATGGGTTTTTAAGATGCTGACGTAAAAAGGCTGATTCTTGCTACCACTTTACGTTGTATTTGTGCTTGTACCTACTTATGTACTTCTCTTTTCTTAATCATAATTGTGTTCTTCTATTCTTCTCATGGTCCAAATTTTCAAATGTATTAATACTCCTTCTACATCCAACCTAATAATGTTATACAAGAAGTATAATGGAAAATTTCTATACTGTGATTTCTCCCACTTGACACTACTTGATGACAACCAAGAGTTGTGTTAACAGATGAACACTGGACTGCATCATCAAACTTACAGCTACAAAAGAAGAAAAGAACACTGTGCTTGAAATGAAGCTTCCTGAAACAAGAAACCTCATTTGTAATATCCTCCAATTCCTCATTTTCTGGATAATCATGTTTTGCTCTTGTAAACTTTCCTCCTCTATCACCCATTAAAAAAAAATAATCATGTTGCATCATAATTCTAGCATTCTGGTTTTGCTTTCTGTCTGCTCCTATGAAATAACAAAATTGAGGGAACCTCCTGTGCAGGGTGTAGGCGCTTGCATCCTAGTTAAGCGCTGTAGTGAGAGGGGAGTGAAGACCTTCACTGATCACAGCCACCCAAACAGTCTTCTCAACGATGACTTTTCCCATGTTGTATGCCTGCTTTAGACCTCATACTGCACCAATTTGCACTGCTAGAAAATTACTGGAGACAGAAAACAACACAGGGAACGGAAGGGAGATATTGTTATTTTCATGACCGGACACACACGTGCAGGAAGCATGATGGGAGAGCATAGGACACTTACGGAAAGCAGCAGCAGCTGCCTGAGCGCGCAGAGCAGGCAACATTCAGCTGTCCATAGGAAGACATAGTTGCTGTATATCTTCATTGCACACTCAACCCTCCCCATTTACTTGTACTTACAAGACTGTACGACAATCCAGACTGGAATTGCAGTGAGGCACTGAGAAGACAGGACAAGGCTATGCAGTGCTCTGCTAAATAGGGTTGATCACAGTGGCATCAAGGAACAGCTGAGGGGCTGCTTGGCTACTTACTCTATTTACCTTGAAGTAATTTTTTATTGCTTCCAGCTGGTCTCTGAGCACTGCTGCATCACTGCTGCCTATTTATTGAGAACTCGCTCTATCTACTTCCCCTTATTGCAGTCCTCTGATCATCTAAGTTGCTCCTTGAAATGTGACTCTGCTGACCTTCTTTAGACTCCGTTTCCTGCTTCTCTGTTTCTTGGGACTCTGCCAGGAGGCTCCTTTGCTTTGCACAGCAATAAGAAGTTAAGCTAGTAGAAGATATCCGCTTTTAGGCATTTTCATGGTTTAGGCTAAATCGGCTACTCTGGACCTGGGGGACCCCAGATAGGACTGACAGATGCTCCTCTCTTCGAAGAGAGAGATAGAGGAGGGGGAAAAGCGACTTATGAGTTTAGAAGGAACGGAACTACTTTACTGAAATATTAATAATAAAATAAAAGGAACTAATGAAGTATATACAATCACAACACCGGCTGGCACTGGGGCAGTTCCAGGCTGGACTCAGTGATGGATGGGAACTGGATTCTGGATCTGCATTCAGGATCGGGATCACAGGCAGCCGAACAGTCTTCCTCAGACGTCAGCCATTGAAGGAAGAGCCCCCTGACCCTTTGATCCTCAGCCTTTATACTGAGCATGAGGCAGATGGGATGGAATACCCTCGTTGGTCAGTTTTGGGTCACCTGTCCTGTCCGCTCCTCCCCACAGGTGGGACCCCACTGCGCTTTTCCACTTCTGACCCTCCAACGGGGCAAATAACAAAGTTGGTTGGCCTTGGGGGTTATAGCAATAAGCATAAGCAAGAGCCTCTCTGCATACCATGGCTGGGCATCAGCTATAAACATAGGTCTTACCACTCTGAGAGGGTGAACGTTGTCTGCACAATGTGCTGTTCATTTCAGTAGTTAGAAGAGGCCCAGCTAAGAAGCAAAGTTACCGAATACAATTGGTTCTGTTTTACCTCAAACCAGGACAGGTGTTTATGATCCCAGCTGAGGCAGTTTTATGATCTCAGAAAGCTGGGTATGAAAGAACAGAGCAGGGAAGCAGATTCAAGTTTCCTGTATCTCTGGGGTTTCATCACTAGCTAATTTTCTCTCTATGAATGTCTCTGGAAAGTTTCCTCTGCTGCTGTGCACTGTCCAATATTCTCTCTTTACTTCTGTATGTTACGTAGAACCATAGCATAGTCTAATATTCCCTTTTTATTTTTTTATGGTGTATGGGATTACAATAATTCTGGTAAAAACCAATGGAAAGGAAGGAGGAATGGGGATGAGCTGTTAAAATGCTTTTAGAGTGGCTATTTAGTACTTCACACTGGTCTTGAAAATTTTATCTAAGGGTTGGGAAGTTCTCTCACACTTGTTTCCTTGTAAAGATTAAATCAAGCTCTGCATGTTGTAAGCAGAATTTCCGGATGAATGAATCCATAGGCATTATATAAACACGATGTGTAAGAGCATAACACTCATCTACAGATCTCGAAGATAAAGGGATGGTTTAATTCAATTGGTTTGCAGGGTTACAATGGCCCAAAACAGAGAAAAAGCAAAGAGATGAATGTTATTGGATGCAATCATTAGTGTTTATTGGGAGGAGAAGGTGTACATTTTAAGCAAATTAAAGAAAAAGTACAAGGTGGACCTCAGTATTTGAAAAAAGAGCCAGGTAACAGTCTGCATCAAACTGATTTACTTTCAGCACATTTTTCTTCTTTCTTGGTTCACATTTCACATGAACTGGATGAATCACAGTGCAAGGTGACACCTATGGATCTTTCTTATGAGACATATGGGTATCAGAAAACTACCAAAGAGAAAAGTGTATTATCCCAGGCAATTAAAAACATACATGGACGAGTTTTCAGTGATGCTACTGCTTTAGTGCTCCAACAGTGAGAAACAGGTTTTGCATAATCAGTGATTTGGTTTCTTAGAATGGAAAAGACACGTTGTGAGAAAACTGACATTAAAAGCAAATAGAGCATGAGAAGGGTAAACAGAAGAGCAGTTCCCATGGGTGCTGAGCAGCACCCAAAGTTTCCCACTGCTTCAGAAAGCTGTGCTCCTCAGCTTGGTTGCACGTCCAGGTCTTGCCATCAATTCCAGTGCTGTTTCTCCTGCCGTCCACACCTTCTGCCATGCTTAGCATGGACCACAGCCCCCATAGCGCTGGCTCCAGAGATTGCTGGAGGAGGAGGAGGAGGAGGACAAGGAGCCCCCGTAGACAAGGGAGCCCTGCAGGCCCCTGGGGCGGCCCGGTCCCAGGGGGACTGAGGTGCCCACAATGCTCTCCTGAGGGCAGGAGCTGAGGATGGGGCCTGGGAAGGTGATGACCACGGGTGGTGGGTAGACCACAGCCCGGGAGTCCCCACAGGAGGTGACGCAGGGCTGGTTCCAGGCGTTGGCGATGGGCTGTGGGCAGGCCACCTCGCAGGGTGGGAAGCAACGGGAGCGGGGCTGCTGGGTGGGGAAGGACATCCTGCGGGTGGTGAGTGGAACCTGCAATACACCAACGAGCCCGAGTCAACCCACGCTTGCGAGCCGCCATGCCAACCACCCTGCTCTGCTCGCCGTCAGCAGGGAGGGCTCAGGACATGCCATGGTGAGCTGCTCTGCCGAGCATTAGGTGCTTCTCTCTCTTTCTCTTCCTCCTTCCCTGCCCTCCTTCCTCCCTCCTGGGCAGCTCCTCTGTGCTCTCCCAGGCTCCTGCACACTCAGTGATGCCCAAGCCAGCTGAGAAGCTTCACCCAGGTTCACCAGTCAGTTCAATCTGAGCTCAAGAGTAACACACTGGGACCGAGCCCCATCGAGGCTGAACCCCTCTGCCTTGCTGTGCCAGCAGCAGTGCAGCTCGGACAGGTCTGCATCTGCCCGGTTTGCCGGTGAGAATATCAAAGAAAGATGTTCTTCATGCAAAGCTGGGTACTCACAGCACTGCGGTTCAGACTGCGTGTGCAGGAGTTGGTTAAAAATAACACACACCTAAAAATAAAAAAGATAGCGAAGGGATCAGACTTACTCGGATCGATGAAGAGGAGAAGCGAGGACCTGTGATCTGAGGACTTCTGAGCCAGAAGCCCTTATATACCGTCTCCCGGATCGCCTGGGGGGGTTGAGACATCCTTTGTGTTTCAGGGTTGTTTTGTTACAAAACACAACCACACTCGTCACTCCCCAAGCTTGTATGATTGTTTTATGCATCTTCGGACAATTATCAATTATCAGTTTCTTCCAACACCCTCTTGTTTCTTCCTTTAACTTTTTGAAGTAGTTTCACTTCCTGCAGCATTTTGCTGATTTTGCCAGTGTGACAAAAATGTTGGAAAACTACCTGATTTACGCAATTGCTCCACATAGCCGGTATTTTTCAAGCACTCCTCAGTATCACAAGCGGTGCGGTGCACTGCGAGCTGATTTTCTTCTCTAAATCCCTGCTGATAGCGAGCTGAAACACTGTAGGGATTACAGTTGGAATAAAGATGGGAGATTTGCTTCATCTGCCTTGTTCTTCATCCCAGCTACACACTGCAGGTCTGATACAGCACACTAAAGCATAGAGGTGATTTTCTTTTTTTTTGTGAATTCTTGCAGATCATCTGTATTTCCTTTTGCCTCTGAACAGAAAAAACACAAATACACGTTCCTTCCCATGTCCCTCAGCCCCGGTTTATGCAGCACATCCGCCTGGCTGCACCGATATTATGACTTTGTGTCTGATGTGAGGAAAATCCTTCAATAACTATCAAAATAGTGAGTGTTTGGTTTTTGGTCTGTTTGGTTCTTTTTTTTTTGTTTTGTTTTGTTTTTTTTTCTCATTTGGATGTGAATAGATTAGAGGAAGGCAATCCTTTAAAGCCACACAGGGGAGCGGAATGCTTTATGCTGTGTTACGGGACACCCAAGGAGGGGGTCTAGCCCCGTGTGCTTCCTTTTGTCCCCAAGGAGAGACCC